CAGCTCCCCCACCCTGCCCCCATACTGCGCTTGCTGGCCGCCAGCTCCTCCTTCAGCTTCTCCACCTTGGCCTTGAGGGTCTCGTTCTCGTCGTGGCCGGGGGAGGGCCTGCCCCCATCACCCCCCGCCTCCTGCAGCTGCTGGAGGGGGGGACACGGGGGGCACGTCAGGGCCTGAGGCACCCGGGGCATCCCCTTCCCCACCGCTGCTGGCTGCAATACCTTCCGCAGGGCATCGTTGTCCTCCATGTAGCGACGGGCGGCCTGGCTGGCACCTTCCGCCTGTTTCCGGAAGGCCTCGCTGGAGGCGCCCAGCACGGCCTGCTGCGAGATGAGGGTGACCAGGCGGCGCAGGAGGCTGCGGGAGGCAGGGTGAGCCGGGCCCCGCGGCCCCCCCGGCCCCCCCCCGGGTCCCGCTGTGGGGCCGGGTCCCGCTGTGGGGCCAGGTCCCGCTGCCAGGCTGCGCATGTGCCTGCTGATCCTCGCACCAGGCATGAACGACGTCCTGCCCAACACCCCTCCGTACGTGCCCCGCGTGGGGCAGGTGAGTGAGCAGAGGCGGAGAACGGGGGCAGACAGACAGCCCAGCTGTGGGGTGCGCTGGGGCAATGGGTGGCTGCAGGGCAGGGAGCAGGGCAGGCTTGGGAAGTGCTGTGGGGCGTTAACGGGGCAGGGTGGCTCTGTGGTGGGGCTGTGGGCCTGGGGGTGGCTGTGGGGCAGGCAGTGGGCCTGGGGTGGGCTGTGGGGCCCGTGGGGTAGGCTGTGGGGTACTGATGCTATCCCACAGCGGATCACGGTGGTCGTGGGGCGACCGTTCAGTGTCCGGCCCCTCCTGGAGCGGCTCCGGGCTGAGGGCACATCGACGGTGAGTGCTTGGGGGGCTGCCCCATGGCAGGAGGGGGGACACCGCTCTGCCCCACGGCTCTGCGGGGCCTGTTCCCCCTGGCCCCAGGCTCTAGGGGCCCAGCCCCGTGCCTCTGTGGGGCCTGGCCCCCTGTCCCCCCCCAGGTGGAGATGCGGAAGGCGCTGACAGATTTTGTGCAGAGGGAGTTTGAAGCGCTGCGTGGCCAGGCCCGGGCCCTGCACGCTGCCCCATAGCATGTGGGGTGCCCCACAGACAGACGGACTGCCCCGCCCATGGCGAGACTTGTCCCACGGTGAGACTGCCGCGTGGCACGACAGCCCCGCAGCCATCCCTGCAGCCCCGCGGGTTCCAAAGACAGACCGCCCCACGGCACAACGGCCCCACAGCCATCCCCGGAGCACCATGGGGCGCTGCCAGAAGGACAGACAGAAGGACAGATAAACAAGCTGCCCCGTAGCACGCCCCTGCTCCCAGCTCCCGTGCACGGTGCCAATAAAGGTGGTGGAGCCTCCGTGGTCTCTGGAGGGGTAAAGAGGACCTGGGGTGGTTGGGGGGTCCCCGAGGGGTTGGGGGACAGAGACGAGCCTGGCCTGATCCCATGTGTTTATTGAAGCAGAAGCTGGTGGGGGGTGGCCCCACAGCCGGGGACCCCCCCTGAAAGGGGCAAAGGGGGGCTCAGACACCCCCAGAATGCTGCCACAGAGCAGGGGATCCCCAAATGTAAGTGCGGGCGTGGCCTGGTCCATCACTCCTCCTTCTTGTCCCGGGGGCCGTCGTGGGCTGCCTGTGGGGCAGGGCAGGGGGTCAGGGGAGGTGTGTGTTTGGGGGGGCACGGGGGGGGGTTTAGGGCCCCCCATACCTGCAGGCGGGCATGCTGGGGCAGCAGGCGGGCGGACTCCCCCGGCAGGCCCCCCCCCC